AAATTGAGCCATTGATTATTAAAGTAAAACAGTATAATTTAATTTTAGAAACTGTAATGCAATATAAAAGCTAGACAAATTTAACACAAAACGACTTATCTGAGGTTTATTTAAAGTTATTTTACAATATCAAAGGCCAATTTTATACAAGCCACACAAGCACATCAAAAGCCAGTTTTCTTAAAAATGACCTTTTTGAAGCTGCCCACTGCTCCCTTCTGGCTGTACCACCAAGTTTTTGTGGTGTGGGTAGTAGTTCTCGAGGGATGACTCCGTCAAAATTTTCTTTAAAAGTGAAGATGGGCTTTCCATTCACAGACCTATTACTACTTCACCTTAAAAACTTTGCACCAGTGTCAGTCAGCACCATCAACCAAACCAACATAGTTGTAGGATTGGATTTTGGTTGCAAACTTCACTATGACAATCACAAATACTTTTCAATTTACATATGTCAAGCTATATGCTCTAAATAAGTACCCAACTTTACCTCGTTGTGAACTATCTGCATTTTGATAACTGATAATGAGCATTTCCTGGGGAAATAATTATTTTTCCCTGTATACTTTTCCTTAAATGCACACTTAACCCAACCTGCTTTTGCCTCTGATATCCCTGCCAGCTGGATCAAATTGTCATTTCTTTGTGCATATTCAAATACCATGAACTGGATTTTGACTATGCACAAAGTAATGAACACATAAAGGCTGCTAGTGCCTTCATATGTTCTGCCAGCTCTCTCTCCATATGGTCATCAAGGACTTGATTGACAAGTCCAGATCTTTCATACCCTTTTATGAAAGATCTCTTCCATCTTCTCCACATATTGTTTTAGTGTCATCGTGAATATGTTCATCTTCCTCGCCACCTGATGAATGGACTTCCCCTTCTCACCTCATTCACTCTGTCCATGTTCTCTAAAGGAGTGGAAGCCCTGCCTGTCTTCCCTATTATAACTCCATGGCATGCTGGTCTATTTCTATTTTGGGTTTGAAATTAAGAATGTCACTGTGAAAAACTGTAAACAAACAAACAAAAACAATTAATGAAATAATATATTAAAACATTCATAAGTTGGGCACAAAGCAACCCAACCACACCGTTTTTTTTTTTTTTTTTAAAAAGAAGCATCATCCGGCAGTTTTGAGCTAACATCATGTTAGGTGTATAGTCTCGCAGTGTAGCTTACCAAAGCAAAACATCTGCGAAATGTTTTTAAACCTGTCTGTAACTGTTTAGACAAAACAATCAAAAAACCTTGATCTCAGAAATTTTACTTTAAAAGGCAAAAATCGTTTTTGAACTTAAATATTCTTTATTCTGATGCAATGAGGTTCTCTTATTTACAGGATTAGTAAAATGGCTGACTCTTCAAAAACGTGCAGTCACATGACTGATTTCTTCTATGGTTCCCTAGAAACAAGGGGTGGCATAAATCACCCCACTTTCCCCTATTGTGGGAATAGCAGCATGACAATTTTCAGTATTTTTGTTTTACACAATGTCGCCCTCTAGTGGTACAGGTCTGGACTTTATCATTGCTCAGTTACACCTTTCTTGCTTTTATTGTATTTTGCTTCTTAGTGCTCACCAAAGGCTTTTGCATCAATAATGCTGGTAATCATGGCATCATCGGGCCTGTCGGAAATTAGAATCATATTAGACAAACATAAAATAAATTTTTACTGGTTTGAAATTAAAGACTAAGCTAACAGAGATATTTTGTTTTTTAACTAACATTTAACAAAATCTACACTATGAATCCTGCATTGTTAACCTCACTAAGAAAAGACACACAAAGACATTGCTTTAAAAAGTTTTTATATTGTTTGCAAAGATAAAAACTGTAAGTGAGTACATGGCTATT